GCTTGGTCTGACCTACCTGGCTTTGTCTAACCTACCTGGCTTGGTGTTACCTACCTGGCTTGGTGTGACCTACCTGGCTTGGTGTGACCTACCTGGCTTGGTGTGACCTACCTGGCTTGGTCTGACCTACCTGGCTTGGTGTGACCTACCTGGCTTGGTGTGACCTACCTGGCTTGGTCTGACCTACCTGGCTTGGTCTGACCTACCTTGCTTGAAATAACCTACCTGGCTTGGTCTGACCTACCTGGCTTGGTGTGACCTACCTGGCTTAGTGTGACCTGCCTGGCTTGGTGTGACCTACCTGGCTTGGTGTGACCTACCTGGCTTGGTGTGACCTACCTGGCTTGGTCTAACCTACCTGGCTTGGTCTAACCTGCCTGGCTTGGTCTGACCTGCCTTGCTTGGTGTGACCTACCTGGCTTGGTCTGACCTACCTGGCTTGGTCTGACCTACCTGGCTTGGTCTGACCTACCTTGCTTGGTCTGACCTACCTGGCCTGGTGTGGTGTGTCTTGCTTGGTCTGGCCTAGGCTTGGTTAGGCCTTGTCTGGGCTTGAAATCTAGCATGAAGAATATGGCATTGGGAGACCAACATGGAAGGAACTGTTTCTGGTTTCTATGTAGACAAGAAATTAAACGTATGCAAGCAGCTGTGTTGACAGCGATTCCTATTTTTATGGTGCTGTCTTTGCATATTTTTCTTCTTATTCTTTCCTTCTTTCTTTCGTTTGTGGCACACAGTATTTTATCTGAATTATCTTGCATACTTGTTGTGTGTCCTATCTTGTTGAACTGGAATTCACTGGTTTTGTGCTCCTCACCTCATAATAGGCCCTCTGATTAGTTTTAAAATACCCTGAGCCCTCAGGGAAGCTCGGATGGCAAGGAGGAATTACAGGACATTTGGAAATTCTTCCAGTGCTCCCGGTGCTTACAAGATTTCCAGTATCACTTGTAGCTTGCGGGGCAGAATTTAGAATAATCCAATTGTCTAGTCCCAGCCACACAATTCCAGGCTCGACGACGACAAGGGAGAGGAGGCCATGACCAGGCCAGACCATGCCAGAACAGATGAGGCCAGACAAGTCCAGACCAGGCCAGAAATTGGCCTCGGACTGGAACAGACCATTTCAGATCCCACAACAAGATCAGAACAGGCTAAGCCAGGCCAGAGCAGAACATATCACACGAGACCAGGCATACTAATAGGCGAGACTGGGCCAGGCCAGACCATATGATGCCAGACCAGGCCTTAGACCATTCAAAACCACGCCAGGCAGGCAAGGCAACAAGCCAAACAAGGCCAGACATGTTGCTGTCCTCTTCTCATCCCTCACATTCTTCACTCTCGCATTGTTTGTGATACCTTCACCTCTCCTTTTGGATATCATTTTGTGACTAAGGCTCATGTAGAATACTCATTTTGCTCTCTATTTTCAATACATTTATAATGTAAACACTGTTTTTTTCAGTGTGACATACACCATGATGACCCTTTCACGATCAATGTACCCTATTTTTTTCGCCTCTAAAACAAGGGCTCACACAATTCTTTCTTGACCGGTCAGAGTGTCTACAGCCTGTTTCAGCTCGGGCAGCAATCATCCGCACAATAAATCACCTGTCACTTACAATCACAACCAGCCGACACAATGTGTCAAATGCCAACGTGTCAATACTCGCACAGTCACCGAGACGATGGCACAAACGCACTAAACCTAATGTTAAATGTGAATTAGCTATGTGCACACACTGATGGCAAATTCTATGGCTTAAAAACTCCCTACAAAGGCGGGTGTTTACTTGTAAGAGATCCTGACGACGTGTCAGAGTGGCGGGAAGAGGGGGTCACACGTTGACTGGGTAAAAAGGCATTTTGAAACTTTAGCCAGTCGTGTTTGTGACTAATTTTGAGTATGCCATCCAATCACCCCCACACTGACTTGCTTCATACAATGATGCCATTCATAGTTGATGGCGGCTTTAAAGAATGTGATGACATTTGCTTGACTCTTAAGATAAATTCAGATGTCTGTTATATTACATAATTAGTCTTTTAAAACGAGTATTTGATGCAATTCATCTGACCTTCATTTCAGCCTATTATGGAACTATGTTTTCTTGCATACAATTCTCTATCGTGCTGTTATATTTTACAGGATTTACTTGTGATACGTTATCGACACCTAATCGAGGAAATGAGGGCGTATTTTTATGTTTTCTTCGACGGTGCAGACGGCTGAGAGTACGGACTTTTGTGAGTGCAGACTTTGTTACGAGTTCAGGCGACCACGGTCCCCATGAGGTCTTTGGTTGGTTATTCGTCCACAGTCAAATTTTGGAAAGAAACACGTCCTAAGCATCATCCCCAACCCAATCCGATCCCATCATTCCTTCCACAGCAGACTCCCTTGCGCAGCTTTCCCCGTCGCATTTCCATTCGCCAAATCTGTCCCAACCAAGGCTGCAAATTTGGCCTCGTACAGTTTGTGCATCGCATTAGCTATCCAGGCCCATCGTCGACAACCTTAGCTTGCCACTTGTGGGTAGCTGAGAGTAGCAGGTTTGCTGCGGGGGCTGCTTCAGCTCGGCTTGCTGTCTTTTTTTAGGTTAGCAGCACTACGGAATACAACAACTGATGGCTTGCGGTACGATGGAACTCTGGAATGTCAGGGTTGGGGTTTTGAGGACTGCTCAAGGGTCTCATGCTTCACAGGCCCAGGACTATGCTGCTGCTGCTGCTGCGAGAAGTAGGTGCTGTATTCTTCGAGCTCGTAGAACGACGTTCAGGCTGTTAGCCATAGCTCTGCCTATAAGGACACGCACACGCCACAAACGATATAGCGGCTGTTTGGGACCGAGTAGACTTACCTTTTCAAGGCCAGGGTGATTCCAGTTCAGGGGAACACCGTACTGATTTTTAAGTAAGAAGTCGCTAAGCTTGAAGCGATGCTGGAAATCATTCTGGTTGTGGTGGGTCTCATGCTTTTATGCATGTTCTTTCGTGATGAAGAGAGAGACAACGAACGATCAACTTTCCAGAGCAACTATGGAAGCGGCAGCTATGCAACCTCACCCACTTCATTTCAAGCGCCTCCTGTTCGGCGAACTTCTGTTGCTGTCTTTTGGGATTACGAAAATTGTCAGATTTACAGTGGGGTCGGTACCGCAAGAGCCGTTGAGTTTATCCGTAACGTAGCATCAGGTTATGGATCTATTGTAGAGATGACTGCTTATGGCAAAGCTGCCCAAGTAGCATCCCGTGAGGACGATCTGTTAAATTATGGGGTTTCGGTGAAAAAAGTGCCGCAAGGGTGGAACTTGGCAGATCAAGAGATTCGCAAGGACGCTGCAAGATTTGCTTCTTACAACAACTATGGGTATGGTACCAGCCTTTGAATGCTGCTGTTTTATTTTGCCTCTCACTTGTATTTTCTGAAATTTCCTACTAATGTTAATCTTCATTCTCAAACCATGTCCTCTGTTGCTTCTTTCGAGTAAATCCACCAGGGCGACTGTGGTGCTCATTTCTGGGGACCATGGATTTTGTCCACTCATCAGAGACCTTCGGCACAGAAATGTGCGCATAGTTGTCATCGCGAGGAGGGATCAGCTGTATGCATGGGGAGAGAGCTCGCCACTAATGGATGCAGCCGATGCTGCATATGTATGGTCGTTGTGATGCATGATTGACGAGACACGTCTTCATGAAGACTGACAAGATGCATCCACTGGTGCAGCACCATGTTGGAAACATGTGTCTGATTAACGGATGGACTTGACAGTCCAGCAACTCTTGCATCAGGTCAGGTAGCATACCATTGAGAACAGGTACCAACCAACCAAGTACAACGGAACCCCATCCTCACATGGGGTGCCATCAGGCCCTATGATATCAGGAATTTTTCCCTGAAATTCCTGATTTTCAGGGATTTTTTGGTACCTACACTGATTTTTCAGTGTTGAGAATTTTGTGACACTGATTTTTCAGCCTTTATTTCATAGTTGACACTGATTTTTCAGTCTTTTATCGAAGTGTACACTGAATGCACATTCCGAATCCTTCCTGTCAACCAACATTTTCAGGTTTTTAACGTACGAATACGTAAGAGATTGACGGTTTAGAGGATCAACTGTCAGTGGTTAGTGATTTTCTACCGACAGGTGAGGGCCTGGTTCGAACCCTTCAGCTGACATGATTCGTCAAGCCTATATTAGTACACATGGTTTTCATTTGCTTGAAAATTCAGGCTTTGATTTTTAGGAACCCTGAAAATTCAGGGTTTTTTTTTAGGAACACTGAAAATCAGGGTTTTGTTCACAGGGACCCTGATGCATCAACGTCCCTTAAAGTGAATCTGAGGGCCTGGGTGCCATGTTTGAATTGAAACGTCTCTTCCTTCATCTAATACGGTTCTGGTATGACAGCGATGTTGTTACGAATAGTAATACTTGAATATTACTATGCACTCCTCACCGCAGCAAAGAGAAGCGCGCAGTATCGCGAATGAAAGCGAAGCGTCAGACGGTTGGAACGCATCTGAACCGTCGGAGCAGACAGCATCGGGCAGCTGCAGACAGGATGGTTTCGGCGGGAACAGTTTCGTAACTGTTCGCGCCGCACAGTTGGGGATGTATTTGAATAAGGGAATGTACCCCTTAGAGTACATGGCTCGTCTAGGTCTTTGTATTCCCCTGTACTATAAACTCGATGTATGCACGTCTTAATTATCTCAAGCATTTACATTCACTCTGCTACCGTCATCGCCCGGATATAAGACATTGTTGAATAGTAGACAGGGGTTGTCTACTATACGGGTGTCTCTTATAAACAAGCTAGCCTTTTTATACGACACCTATTTGTGTGTACGAGTTAAGACATATATGTCTTATAATCAGAACCAGGGTTTAGGGGTTTTCTTATAAACAGGGGGTGTCTTCTTAGCTAGCTTTCCTACTTTAGGGGGGTACATGCATACAGTCATAAATCTCTACTTCTACCTAACCCCCCTCAGTCACCGCCTCCACACCTGCACTAACATCAGGCTCTACACCCAGGTCTGGCACTCGCCAGGCATGCCTAGCCGTCTCCCTAGGCTCGATCATGCGGTCAGCCTCGGCCGCCGCTCCGCGGTAGTTGGGGGTCTCCTGGTACAGCACCTCCAGGCCGGTTGCCACGGCCACCTCCCGCACGCCCTCCGCCTGCATCGCCTCCTCCTCCTCCTCTAGAGCCCGACCGAGCAGGCGCGTGTTGTCACCTGTGGTCCCCCCGAGAGGCATGTCCGCGGAGACATCGGTGGTGCTCCTGGCGCGTAGGTGAGACATCACCAGGTGGTTCTCTGTTCCGTCCAGCTTGCTCGAGATCCCACAGTGGCGGAACGCGTCGATGATGATCTGCTTGGGGACTTGATCCCAAGCCTCCGCGATCCACTGCAGCACCACGGGGTGCGGAGGCCTCCGCAGGTTCCCTGCGGGTGGGACAGAGGACGGGGCAGCGAGATGTAAGAGACACGAATATGAAGGAGCATGTTTAAGACAAGGACACGAAACAGAACATGAATAAAACCGTAAATGAAGGACCAACTCACCCTTCTTCGTCTTCAGGTGAATCCCTTCACGCATGAACCACCTGGCGTAGTGCGCTCGCATAGCAGCCTTGAAGCACCGGTTGATGGAGACGTCCAGGGGTTGAATCTGGCTCGTACAACCCGCTGAGATGGCTGCAGGGGTGATGCTGTGCGTGCGGTACGACTAAAGCATGGTCTGGGTGATGTGACCGCGGTAGGAATCCAACACCAGCATCGCCCGCCTTGCGTTCTGGCCGCGCTGGGGTTTCAGATGGGGCAACACCTCCTTGGACAGCCAGGTCTGCACAGCGGTCTCGTCCATCCACCCGTTGTCCTGTGCTTGGACCACGATTCCTGCCAGGCACACAAGGGACAGACGAGCATCAGCACAGTGGGGCACGCTCATCAGGCAGTCGCACGGTTGAATTCACGCTCGCTTACCTTCCGGAATCTCACAGTTGGGGACGTTCTTCATCTTGAACCACACCCACGGCCGCAGCTTCTCCCCGGATGCAGTGCACGCGAGCATCACCGTCAAGCGCGTCTTCTGGTAGCCTGCAGTGCGGATTGGGACCGAGCGTGCGCCACGGTGCTCGATCATCCGTTCGGCTGGCATCTCCACGAATAGTGGAGTCTGGTCCGCGTTGATGATGCGGGCCAGGTCGATTTTGTGCCGCGCCCTGTTGATGCGCACAAACTTCCAGAAGGACTCGCAGTCCTTCGCGCACTCTGCAAACGGGACAAGCGCAACGGAAGCACGGGATGGTTAGACACTGGGTGAGGTACATGCATTCAATAGAGCGCCAGACGAAATCCTTCAACACGCACCTGCCGACAGACGTTGGCCGACCTTGGTCTTCACCCGCATCACCAGGTTCCAGCGGTCACGGAAACGCTGGCTCCAGTGAGAGCTCGCGTTCCAGTTCTTGCCGGGGTAATGCTTCTTCATCCACTTGCGGCTCCACTTCTGGGTGTCCTTCACCGAGATGGCCACCCCGTTAGCGCGCTGAAGGCAGATGTAGCGGTACAACGCTGCCTCCATGTCGGGGTAGTGTGAGTGGCGCCCCCCTCCGTGCATCCGCTTGCGGCAGTTGGCTGCGCCCTTGTAGACGCCCGCTTCGGCCTCCGCACACCAGCGTCTGATGCAGGCGATGGACGCGGTTGACTCCACGCTCGTCTTCTTCAAGGAGCCGAGCTCCTGATAGCGGCGCGCCCACTTAAGCTTCTCACGCACGGTCCAACTGCGGCGCTTCTTCGTAGTGTCTTTACTGCGAGGGGAAGGTGGGCGGGTGTTGGGATTATGGAGGGTGGGGTCTCTCGGCGTTACCTTCTCAGGGAACGTGGGAATCGGGCCTGCCGCCGCCGCGTACTCATCGTCGCTGCCCAGCGGCTCGTTCACGGCGATGTCGTCAGGAGTCGGCGCCTTCTTTGCCTTCTTCTTAGCCGCACCCTTGCTGGATCCCGGGTCTCCGTCGGATGTCAGCTTCTTGTTGCTTGTGCGGCGACGAGCAGGGGCTTTAGCTGGGGCCTTAGCAGGGGCTTCCGCGACCTTGGCTTTCCCCTTCTCCGCAGCGGTGAGTATCGGGCGACGCTCCTCCCCCGGACCGTCGTCGTCAGAGAGCACCACGCGGGCCCGCTTTGACGTGGACTGTAGGCGATGGCGCAGCCTCCGCTTCAGTAGCGGGACGTCGTCGTCGGTCCCAAAGCTCCATGGGTCGTCGTCGCCGCCTTCCTCGCCTTCCGCATCCGCAACTGCGGCCGCATCCGCAGGCGCAAATGTCTCAAGTTCCGCCCCCGCCTCGTCGTCAGCCTCCTCATTCGCATCCACCGCCGCTTCCTGTGCATCCGCCGCTGCCTCCGCGTTGTTACCCTGCGCATCTTTACCTCCGTCGTTGTCGGAATCACCAGCATGCCACTCTTCCACCTCGTCGTCGCTCCCGACCGGCCGATTCCACCAGTCGTCCTCCTCGATGTCAGCAGGACCTACATCGTCGCCTGAAGCGCTGTCGTCGTGGCCGTTCTCCAGCCAATCCTCCTCGGCGTCGTCGCCGTTTGCTTCGTCTCCGTCGTCCCCGTCACAGCTCGCACCGGAGGCGGCGGTAGGACTTGCCGCCTTGCTCGCGTTCTTCGCCATGGCTACACGGATGTCATCGCCGAGCGAGTTAATTCGCCCGTAGTTATTAACCTGCACGTGAGGACGAGGTGAGGACTTGCCTACAGGTACTTTGCTGCGCATGGTTAGAGAGCCTGCCGAGAGCAAGGTTGAGACGAGTATTCAACCTCCTTGAGCACGAAATGAAGTGAGAGCCCGACTACCCCCCCCAGCCAGAGTGCCCCATCCACAGGTGCCGAGCCGCTCCTCTACGAGGCATCTCCTCGTAGAGGACAGCCCTCGCGCTGCCAACGTGCTGCCAGCAGCGTTATGGAAGCATCCATGCGCTCCTGGCAGCAAAACGACGCTGGCAGCATCATTAGATGCTGCCAGCACAGAGGAATGTTTCCAGCGGTGGCAGCTCCCTCACGTGGAAAGTGTGGGCGCTGCATGCATCACCACCGAGGTCGGCCTGTTTAAATGAAATTGGTCTTTGGGTGGTTTCTACACACTTTGCAAGTGTTACAGTCAACTTAAAATTTTTTCCATTTATAAGACTTATAAGACACCCTAAACCATCCCGTTTACAAGATAACTCAAGCTTTGCCCGTGTACGAGATAAGACATCTATGTCTTATATCCGGGCAATGACGGTATTGAGGTCAAGGGCCCACCAACACCACTTCTCTGCGTGCGAACCTTCCTGAGTAGATCCTAGGTCACGATCAACTTGTGATCGCAACATGGTATGAGAGCGACTCAGGAATCCTTCGCACCGCCATCTCCGAATTCTGCGACATTCGGAAAGTGGCGTCCGGCACACGATCACGTGTAAGAATGGCCGGAGGATCTGGAGGTCAGACGAATCTGACGGCTGAAGCGCAGCCCAACCCGACTGCAACAAACGAGGAAACGACGACGATTCCCTTCGCCGTCCTTGCACAACTGCTTCAGCGACTCACGAGCCTGGAGCAAGGGCTCCAAACATTGCGGAATGGCGATGCGGGAACTTCCTCCCAACCCACTCAACCGGCCCCAAACGGCCACAACTCCGCCCCGCAAGGCTTCTCCCTAGATACGAACGGCTCAACCCCCAAGACTCCCTGTCCCAGCGATGAAGCAATTCTCTCCGCGCAATCAAGGTTTTTGAGCATATCAAAAATAAAGACAAGTGTGTGCTTTGACGGCAGGGACTTTTACACCTGGAGCTTCGAGCTAGAACTGCTGCTGCAAAACGCGCAGATTTATCATTACTTCGACGGGAGCTACTCGGGACCTGCTGAAGATACCGACCACGCAATGACTCACTATTATAACGAGTCCCTGATGGCGTACAGGATTCTTTTGCGTAACATGTCGCCGGCGGAACAGCTGAACATCCGTTCATACAAGATATCGACCGCCCCAGCCCTCGACGCTTGGCGCAACCTGAACGGCGTGGCATCAGCCATGAGTACAAGGCCTGGATCGTGCTGGACCTCCTCAGTCAGAAAATCGCCCACGCTCGCGACGTCATCTTCTACGAGCGCCTCTTCCTCGACCAGTTCCGCCGCGACGAACAAACGAACGCGAACCACGTCTACGCTAACGATGGGCACAGCTACGCAACGCCCGAAGACGAAGCCGCTGCAGCAATCTTGGAGCAGGACACAAAGGGTGAGTTTGTGTGGGAAGAACGACGCAGCAACAACGACGATGACGATTCCTCGGGAGGAGGAATGGGCGCAGCAGGCGGAAGCGGAACAGGCGGAAGCGGCAGAGGCACAGCACCACCAGCGCCTCCTGAACCAGAAAGCGATGACGACGATGTACAGGAAGTCATCCTGCAACGTCGCCACGACACCACTATCTCAGGACTGCAACTGCTTGGGCTTCACACCGCAACTTCGAAGGCGCCACGTGTCGTCGAGCCCCGAAATCCTCGCGAAGCTCTTTCTGGACCACACAGCAAGGAGTGGCGTGAAGCAATGGATGCGGAAATCCGGGCACTCGAGTCGCGCGACACCTGGGTGCTCGTCGACCGTGCAGCAGTAAAGGGGAGAAGGATTCTCTCCGGCAAATGGGTCTTCCGAGTGAAGACAGGAGCCGACGGAAGGATTGAGCGATTCAAGGCACGCTGGGTGGTACACGGCTACGATCAAAGGCACGGGATTGACTTTGACCAGACATTTGCACCAGTCAGCCGTCACACGTCCGTCAGAATTCTCCTTGCCATCGCAACCGCACGACACCTACCACTACGGCAGATCGATGTGAAGAATGCGTTCCTGTACGCATTAGTGGACGCCGTGATCTACGTGGAACAGCCACACACTTACGGCGACGGAGACCCACGTGTCTGTCAACTACGCAAGTCCCTCTATGGGATCAAACAGGCACCGAGACTCTGGCAGCAGTATCTGCACAATATACTGCTTGAAATCGGGTTCAAGCAGCTACCTCACGATCCTGGAATGTATCGCCGCGATTTTCGTGGCGAATACATCCTCCTCACGGTCTACGTCGACGACCTTCTCTACACAGGCTCAAGCAACGAACTGCTCGAGCAGTTTGAGAGAAGCCTCGCAGGGCGCGTCGACATCACCTGCAATCATGACGTGAAGCAGTTTCTCGGACTCAACATCACCTACTCGCCGTAAGCCATTCATCTCTCAGCAGCGAAGTATGCGGAGGAGCTTAGCTAGCGCTTCAACATTGCGCCTACACCACTTTCCACTCCCTACCGCACTCCAGGACCCAACCACAAGCCTGACAGCAAAGCCCTGTCCCCTGCTGGGCTTCACACTTACCAGCAGCAATTGGGATGCCTGCTCTTCGCATCCGTTACCTGCAGGCCCGACCTCTCCTACATTGGGAGCCAGTTGGCTCAGTACTCACGCAAACCAACGGCTGAGAATCTTTCAGATCTTCAGCAAGCCCTTCAATTCTTCATCTACACGCCCAATGTCGGACTCAGTTATTCCACCATCCCAACCACATCCTTCAGTCTCATCGGCTACGTGGATGCCGATCACGCCACTGACCCTGACAAACGACGGTCCAGGACAGGGTTCCTCTTCCGCCTCGAGCCCAGCGGCCCCATCTCCTGGAACTCTCAGAAACAGGAGCTGGTTGCCCTGTCATCGGCGGAAGCTGAATTCATCGCAGCAACAGCAGCTATTCGCGAAGGTCTCTACCTTCAAGAACTGCTGCAGGAAGCAAAAATCCCGGCCTCAACGAACTTTCGCCTGCACTACGACAACCAGAGCGCGATTCGGATCGCGAACAAACCTGGTTTCGTCAACCGCACCAAGCACATTGTGCTGCGGTACTTCTTCGTGAAGGATGAAGTGGACAAGGGCAAGGTCAACTTGACCTACTGCCCGACCGGTGACATGGCAGTAGACTTCCTCACGAAGCGACTGCCACGCCAGCAGTATCAGCACTGCTCCAAACTCAGTGGCGTGGTCAACCAGGTCAAGTTGCTGCGGCCAGGAGTGAAGGGGGGTGTTACGAATAGTAATACTTGAATATTACTATGCACTCCTCACCGCAGCAAAGAGAAGCACGCAGTATCGCGAATGAACGCAAAGCGTCAGACGGTTGGAACGCATCTGAACCGTCGGAGCAGACAGCATCGAGCAGCTGCAGACAGGATGGTTTCGGCGGGAACAGTTTCATAACTGTTCGCGCCGCACAGTTGGGGATGTATTTGAATAAGGGAATGTACCCCTTAGAGTACATGACTAGTCTAGGTCTTTTCGTATTCCCCTGTACTCTTATATAAACTCGATGTATGCACGTCTTAATTATCTCAAGCATTTACATTCACTCTGCTATTGAGGTCAAGGGCCCACCAACACCACTTCTCTGCGTGCGAGTCTTCCTGAGTAGATCCTAGGTCACGATCAACTTCTGATCGCAACAGATGTTGGCTTAGAAACTATGGCATTACAATCAAAACGTGTGCTGTGCTACTGTACATACAGTACCCCATCCCACATGGGGTTTTGAGTCTCCCAGCTTGTGATCAGTTTGTCTATTGGAACACCAGTTCGTGAGACTTGCACGTGCCCTGAACTGTCCACCTTCATCTGAACAACATCAAGCATGTCTTGTAGCATTGCTGCAACCGGCCAGAAGAGGTCGAACTCCTGCCCTCCTTCAAAATAGAATCCATGCTTTTCCAATATGCAACCTAGTGGTTGTTTGGCTCGCCCTTGTAATTCCAGCTGGAGCGAATCGAGGAAGTCAACCCAGGTGCAGTGCTTTTTTTTGGAGTTTCACTACTCGGATTTCCAGAGCTGTTTTCTAGGGAACTCTGAAATTGATCAGAGAAAACTTAACTTATGAAAAATATACTCTGAATGACCTCTCAAGTATTGAACCCTGGCCTTCTCCTACCAAAGCTGTAACCATTGTGCTACAGGCTCACTATCTACCGTGATGACAATTTTTTTTACAAAGTTTGCCTTACCATCTTCCACCAATTGGGGGGGGCCTCGGTCGAAATGCCTATACCCTGTACAGAGAAAAATACATTTGCCACAAATATACACAGGTCTCTCAGAGTAGCTAAAATCAGAACCCTGACAAATCAGAGAAAACTTATCTTCCAAAAAAATTACCCAGACACGTCAGAGTGACCCCCTAAAAACTACTCTGCTTTTCAGAGAAACAGAGTAATTTACTCTGATAAAAAAACCCCTGCCCAGGTGCCTTTGCGTAGCAAGATTGTTGCCAGAACTTGATAAACAAGATGTCTCATCCTTGATTGGATAAGCGCCAAGCTTCTCATGTTTTGTGGCGATGAAACAAGCTGCATCGTTCGCTGCTGTGCTATCCCCGCTCGAACAGCTGGTGTGACGTCCCTCAGATCCTTCAGTAATGACCAAGCAGAGTTCAGCTGCACCACATTTGGCAACACATCTCCCAGGTCCTTGAGGCTTTTCAAGCCGTAGTTCGTGTGAAAATAAGTGATAGAGTAAAGGCGCCATAGCTAGGAAAGACCTAGCTAGGCAAGAATAATTTAGGCAAAAAGAGAGGGTTTCACTAGAAAGCAGCAGGATACATATAGGAAACCCTAAGGGGTTGTACTCACTATAGAGTACCCCTCTGCAGGCTAGAGAACAGTAACATTCTAACACACCCCCATAGCCAAAGTGGGGTGTAATCAACAGAGCAAGCAAAGCAGAACAAGCTCAGGGTGGATCACAATGTCACCACACATTCTGAGCACAAAGACAAGAAGCAATGGTTTAAAGTTCACAATTATGAGCAAAGCTAGAGGCTATCGCAGAGGACAAGTGAGGAGGAGGAGGCGAGACAATAAGAGGAGAGGAGATAGGAGGCGACGACTGAAGCTGCAGACACACGAGCAACAGGAGGCACACTGGCACAGCGCCTCCCGGGAGCGGCGCACGGCGGGCAGAAAACCGCCGCGTGCCTCAGGGCGCACGGCGGAAAGGGAGAGTAGCAGTTGCAGCGGAAGGAGTGTGGTGGGGCCCACAGGCCAGGAGCTTACAGCTCTGATAACCATGTGAAAATAAGTGATAGAGTAAAGGCGCCATAGCTAGGAAAGACCTAGTTAGGCAAGAATAGTTTCGGCAAAAGAGAGGATTTCACTAGAAAGCAGCAGGATACATATAGGAAACCCTAAGGGGTTGTACTCACTATAGAGTACCCCACTGCAGGCTAGAGTGAGAAAACTGAAATGAGAATGAATGAACTATGAACAAACTGAGTACAAGTACTAACCCTAATTGGGTTGTACCCCTTATGGGCTACCCCACTATAGCCTACACAATAAGCACAAGCTATATGTTCTGACACACCCCCATAGGCAAAGTGGGGGAGAACAAGGGGTCACAAGACCAGTCAAGCAAAGCAAAGCAAAGCAAGCTCAAGGTGGATCACAAAGTCACCACACATTCTGAGCACAAGTTCAAGGCCACAAGGCCAGCTCACATGCAGGAGTACATATATATAAAGAACTAGACAAGCAAGAGCAGGTGTATATATATGCAACACTACAAGCAAGGTCAAGAGGTGAGCAAGTGAGGCAAGACAGGCACAAGACCCAACTGCATGCAGAAGCGCTGATGATCACAAGGCACGAGTGCCTTGGTGAAGACATCAGCAGTGTTGGCCTCAGAGGCCACGTACGAAAGCCGCAACTGACCACGCTGCTGTAGCTCACGAGCAAGGAAGTAGCAAAGAGCAATGCGCTTTGTTCTGTGCTCCAGCCTCTGCTCTCGACACAAGGCCAGCATGGCCTTGTTGTCTACGTACAGCACTGGAGGAGAACGAGGCGACTCTCCAACGTCAGTCAGCAGGTAGGTGAGCCAGCGAAGCTCTTGTGCAGCCATGGCCCCGGCGTAGATCTCAGCCTCACAACTGGAGCCGAGAACAGAAGACGAGCGAGTAGCTCGCCACGAAACAGAGCCGGAACCAAGGCTGAAGGTGTAACCCTGTGACGACCGCTGCGTAGCCTGGTCGTCAGCCCAAGAAGCGTCTGCGTGCCCATTGAGGACCACTGGACTCCGCCCTCCAAGCACTAGCCCCTTGCACGGCGTACTGCACAAGTAGCGCAACACCCTCTTCGCTGCAGCCATGTGCTCCAATCTGTGTCTCCCAGGAGCAACATAGCGTGCAAGAATGCTAAGAGGGTATGCAAGGTCAGGTCGTGTGCAGGTCATCAGGTACATGAGGCAGCCAACAAGCTCTAGATACAGGCCACTCGACTCAACGGACTCATCCGAAGGCAAGACTGAGAGCGAGTGGCGAGTAGGCAGAGGAGTGGCCTGAGGCGAGGAGTCGTGAAGCCGAAGCGCTGAAGGACCTGCTGCACCATGTGTGACTGAGTCAGGGTAATGGTGCGGCGTGCTCTGTCCCGGGTGATCTGCAAGCCAAGGTAGCTGCGCAGTTCACCCAGGTCTGTGCACGTGTGTCTCTTCTGCAGCTCGGACTTCACGTAGGCGAGTCCAGCAGTGTCAGCTGTGGCAAAGACCAAGTCGTCGACGTACACGAGGATGTAGAACGGCAGCAGAGAGGTGTCGGTGCGCAGAAACATCGACGGGTCAGCAGTAGAAGGAGCAAACCCAAGAGCCGCAAGCGTAGTCCTCAGTGTGTTGTGCCACTCACGTGGCGCCTGGCGGAGACCGTAGACTGGACGCCGGAGACTCCACTGGGTACAAGGAGGGAAAGACCGAGTGAAGCCAGGTGGGCGGCGCAGCCAGATCTCCTCGTGCAGGCTGCCCTGCAAGAAAGCTGTGCTGAAGTCAAGAGAGTGCAGCTCGTAGTCACGGTGAGCAGCAACGTGCAGCAGTGGCCGAAGAGTGGTCATCTTCGGGGTGGGAGAGAAGGTCTGAAAGTAGTCAACTCCCTGCCGCTGACTGAAGCCACGAGCCACGTAACGCGCCTTGAAGACAGGCCGAGAACATGGCGGCCGCTTCACCCTGAAGATCCACATGCCACTGACGATGTTCGCCCCAGGAGGGGGGACAGCGTCAACGTAGGTGCCTGTGAACTTCCAGGAAGCCATCTCTGCGTCCATAGCTCCCTGCCACAGAGAAGAGTAGGGACCCTCTATCGCCTCCGCGTAAGAGCGCGGAGTCGGGATGTCAAGTGCATCTGGGTCTCCCTCAGGGATAAGCAGTACGGACACGAGATGAGGTGAAGCAGCGGCCAAGCACTGGAACTCCTCCTACCTGTCCTCAAGGACATCCGTGCCAAGGGCACACTCACCCCCGACGAACGGAGGACAGACAGACTCAGACTCAGCAACAAGACTGGCAGCGTAGTCTAGACGACAGCGAGCAGCAAAGTCGACGAGCTCAGCAACTAGGGCAGACGCAGCAGTGGACTCAAAGGAAGGGTCAGTGACAACACTAGCAAGGAGACGCGTGGCAGTAGGACTGGCAGCACGAAGAGAGTCCGACTCCGGGTCCACAAGAGCAGGAAGAGAAGACTCAGGAGGAGAAGGCAAAGGGGCACGCAGAGGAGCAGTGGACGGACGTAGAGACATCCGGTGCGTGCTAGGGATAGGAGGAGGACGCTGACGCGAACCACGACCACTAGTGCGAGCAGGACGGACAGGCGACGCAGGGCGAGACGCAGGCTCACGACGCTCAGCAAGACCTCCAGTAGGACCAGTGTAGGGAGACGGAGAAGGCAGTGGGGAGGCCGGCTGTAACCGTAACTGTGACTGGACAAGCTGTGGACACTCTAAGGGAGGAGGAGGACCAGTAGAAGGCGGGAGACCAAGAACGTGCTGAAGGAGCGGAACGAAGTACGGCCGAGGCTGCGCGGCGACTCCAGACACAGCAAGGACAGCACCAGTACCCCTAGCGGCAGCACCAACACCAGCAGCACCTCCAGCTCCAGTACCTCCAGCAGTACCAGGAGCACCCTCAGCAGGACCGCCTCCTGGACCGACAGCAGTAGCCTCCGCGCCAACACCCGAAGCAGCTCCCGCTCTAGAAGTACCCGCAGGCCCAGCAGCTCCAGTACTCCGAGTACGAGCGCCTCCGGGACCCGCGGCACCAGCACCCACAGCAGCAGCAGAACCTCCAGTACCCGCAGCACCTCGAGCTCCAGCAGCTCGCCTCCAGCGCCGGGCAAACCACTCACGCAGCTCCTGTGGAGAGAGTGGCTCCCGGCGAGATGAAGCACCCGGAGAACCGCCAGGCTCAGTACCGCTAGACGTAGCACCCCCAGGCTCAGCACCCCCAGAATCAGCACCCCTAGGCTCAGCACCCCCAGGCTCTGCACCCCCAGTAGTAGCACCCTCAGGCTCAGCACCCCCAGAGTCAGCACCCCTAGAGTCAGCACCCCCAGAGTCAGCACCCCCAGGCTCAGCACCCTCAGCAGCACGAGAGTCACCAGCGACCTCGACAGGCTCGACAGCGTCTACCTGGGACACACCTGAAGGGGCAGGACCCTGAGGGGGGAGGGGGTCTACCGGGGGGGGACCTGGCACAAGGAAGAGCGGTGGCGGGGGGAGGGACGGAGTGCGGTAGGGGAAGAGACGGTAGTAGGGGACCGACTCGTCGAACGTGACGTCCTGGGAGGACACAACACGGCGAGAGGTGGGGTGGTAGAACTGCCACCCTGGCGCGTCAGGGGGGAAACCCAGGAAGACGCAAGGAGCAGCACGAGGGGACAGCTTGTCCGCAGACAAGTCGCGAACAAACGCCCGAGATCCCCAGACACGGAACGCAGACGCATCGCCAACCTTCCCCGTCCACAGCAAGGCTGGAGAGGTCTCCGGCATGGAGACCCTCGGCTGAAGGTTGATCTGATGCGCCGCGTACCGGACCGCAAACGGCCACAGAAAATGGGGGGCAGCCGCATGCATCATGGACATACGGGCGACGTCCATGACCATGCCAATGCGGCGCTCAGCAATCCCATTTTTCTGTGGAGAGTCCGGAAGCGTGAAGGTCTGGCGGATGCCTCGTGCACAACAGTAGGCTCGCAGAAGGCCCGAGGAGAACTCTCCGCCTCTGTCAGAGTGCAGACGCAGAACAGGAAAGTCCAAGCCGAAGCTCTTCCTGAGCTGGAGATGAGCTGCGCGGATCCAGTCGATCAACACCTCAGTGACATCACCCTTGCTGCGCAAGGGGAAGACTGTGGTGTAACGCGAGTAGTCGTCAACCACCAGCAGGAAGTAGCGCTCGTGACCCTGTCCACGGACGCGGGCCGGGCCCCACACGTCCATGTGAAGCGTCTGCAGCGGGGCCTCTGTCGGAGGAAATTGGGAGGAGTGAGGGGCAGCCCGCTGCCGCCCCTTGACACAGGGGACGCAGGTAGGGCTAGGCCTGGGAGGAAGGGGAGGGAGGGACCGGGGAAGACCAGAGACAAGGACACGGGAGGCCATGCTTCGGAGACCAAGCAGGGAGGGGTGACCAAGGCGGTGGTGCCAGAGGAGAGTCTCGTGAGACAGGAGGCGACATGAGCAGGGGGCGGACTCAGGACCAGACCTGGACGCTGCAGCAAACACATGACCTGATGCAGCTACCTGACCAGACGCAGTGACTGGAGGAGACGCAGTGGTAATAGTGTACATGCTCGACCCCGGCCGACGAGTAAATGTGGCCAGGTGTCGGCCTGTCCGAGCGTCCGTGCAGTGGGTCACCCGCTGACTCGCAGGAGTGAACTGGTGAACCCCCGCATCCTGCAGGTCAGCACCACTTACCAAGTTCATAGAGAACGAGGGGAGGTAAAGACCAGACAGGGTGCCAGAGGGGGCCGCCGGACACGGGAAACAGTGGAGAAGTGAGCAAGGACAGGGCCCCCAGAGGGGTCTGCCAGAGAGACTGCAACTGGCCGACCAAGCGGCGTGAGTGTGGTGCGGTCTCGAAAGAAGGAGCGGGAAGCCCCCGAGTCAAGGGTGAAGGTGTGAGAGGCCGGAGCCGACGCGGTACCTGAGAGAGCAGACTCACCCGCACCTGAGGAAGCAGACTCAATAGCACCTAGAGCAGCAGCCGCACCTGTACCTGGAGCAGGAGACACATTAGCACCCAGAGCAGCAGCCTCACCAGCAGCCTCACACGGGAAACAGTGGAGAAGTGAGCAAGGACAGGGCCCCCAGAGGGGTCTGCCAGAGAGACTGCAACTGGCCGACCAAGCGGCGTGAGTGTGGTGCGGTCTCGAAAGAAGGAGCGGGAAGCCCCCGAGTCAAGGGTGAAGGTGTGAGAGGCCGGAGCCGACGCGGTACCTGAGAGAGCAGACTCACCCGCACCTGAGGAAGCAGACTCAATAGCACCTAGAGCAGCAGCCGCACCTGTACCTGGAGCAGGAGACACACTAGCACCCAGAGCAGCAGCCTCACCAGCAGCTAGAGCAGCAGGCTCTATACCCGGGTCAGGCGGTACGCACAGGTGACCGGCACGGTCAGCACTAGTAGGCATTGCATACATGGCAGTGAGAATAGCATCATAGTCAAGAGCAAATATATCTACCCTCTGCCTAAGCAACTCAACCCAGTCGGGGAGCTCAGCCTCGTCGCCAAACTCGGTACGCGAGGCGTCGCTCAGACGGGCGAAGCAGCGGGACTGTGTGTGACTAGGCGTCCCACAAGGCTGACCAGTCCGAGCTCCAGTGCGAATCACGTAAGAGCAGCGAACAGAACTGAGAGACCCTCTACTCTGAGCGTACCCCACTGCAGGCTAGAGAACAGTAACATTCTGAGAGTTCGCCAAGCGAATTGGTTTGCCAATGAGATGGGAAAAAAGGATGTGAAACAGGTTGATAGAGAGCTCTCCACAAGCACCAAGGACTGTCATCACGTGGTACCTAAGTGTCGCCAAGGAAATCTCTTCAGCTGAGAAGCCTTTCGCAGCACGTTCCTTCACCCTTGCAGTGTCACATCCGCACAGCTCACTTACACCACTTGCTCTTCCGTCTTTCGTAACATGTCCACCCTCATTCTCAACAGCCGCATGCATCACTGGTGACACAAGGCGAAATCTTGGGGATGGAGATGATGACGATACTAGCTCTGAAAATTTCTGTGGAAGTAACTGGCCCCAGTCATGGATATCAGCTCCTTAAGTCAGTAGCTGCAAAGATACTGGAAGCGACCTGATTACTCTAGTGGTCGCAGCCACTTTGACATCACTGACATCACGGTCATGGAGACTAGATACAAGTGGGACGAAGCCAGAGTCAGCAGTGATAAGCACGACGCATGAAGAGACCGACCTGAAAGGTCGTGCAATGGGAAAAAAAATGGTGGTTCGTCGGGAACGGTTTTGGCGTTAGATCGGAATTGAAGCAAAGGGCTTACCTGCTCGGTAAGACTTCATGCTGATTTACTTTAGAGACTTGAACTCCTCTACGGTTGTCCAAAACGAAGCCCATGACCTCGAGAATTATGGCCTTGTCCGCCGATTCCTTCCCTGATGGTACCTGCACAAACTCCACACCGCATGCTTGAAGCTCGCTGGCACGTGAACCGAGAAGTTTCTGCTTTCCGTAAGCTGCGAACCGGCTGATTCTCCATACGAGAAAAAAAACAGCTTTCAAACGACGGACGACATCCGTGTTGTGTTGCATCCATGAGGGATTGCACAGTTCTCGATATCCCAGAAGGCTCTAACACAGACTCCCCGGACTGGATGACGAATCTCTGGCTGATCCAATTGGCCGATATTCAAATTAATTGGTTTGCGCGAAAGTACTAAAGCCATCACTTGGTCTGAAGCAAGAGGTGCTTTTCCGAATGTAGGAGAACGCGTACCACTCGCCGGTTAAGGAGGACTTTGGCTTGGCGAACACCATTATGTTCTTCAGTCTTTCTATATGAAATTACTAACGGCAGCCCAGAACAGACAGACCACAAGCTCGGAGAGATTGAGCTTGGCTACCTTTTCCCTGAACGAGCCGCGAGCCATCATCGACATGCGTAGAGTTTTCTTGAGGAATCCGAGCGTTCAGAGGGCTATAGCTTGCATGCTCTGCTAACGGCGCGGTTGAGATGAACGAAAAAACTTGGAATCAATTATATCCGCGACGTAGATTTCTCTCAGGCCTGATGGGAAACTGGAGCATCACGTGCTTTTGGATCTGATGATCCTATTGTTGAGAATTTAGGAAGGCTTAGGAGCCATAGCTAGTAGGTCGAGTCGTTGAGTTCGAGTGAGTTTTGGGTGAGTAGAGAAGATGCAACAAAAGAGTGGTTTCACTATAGAGCTTTGCTGGAGCCTAGGACGCGATTGTTTTTTGAGCCCCAGAATTTATTGGGCGGTTCGATTGGCGAAACAAGGGGCAGTTAAGAACCTGGGGCCCGCTTGGTTGTAACGATCGCCCCAGCATGATGATTTGGCTCTTCCACATTCGATACTTCGGTTTCGCCTGCGACACCTGCGACATAACGCAGCCCACAGGGCAACCAAAAGCGACATTCGCAGCCCGCAGGCCCACATTGCGGGAATGATGCACGACTCCATTCGCCCGCTTTGCGAAATAACAGCACTTCGCTGGCATCAACATCAATCGTACATGTCGCGATTGGTTCGTGAACATCATCTGCAGAGAAATGCCTCGGAAAGCTGAACACCAATCAGTGATCAGTCACATTCACCATCTGTGCACAATATGTCGACAAAATTCAAACTATAGTATGATTACTAGTCCGTAAACAGGGTAACTGATCCGCACACCGGTCGCAGTTTACGATCGACCGTTTACTTATACCACGACCTTAGCAAATGCGGGTGTATTTACACCCTGTTCTTGATAATTTCACACCACCACATCCCGAACCGCGATTTTTTTTGCCTGAGAGGGTGTGAAATTAAAGGGGCGAATATTCTCCCCGATAATTTCACTCTCGAGGCGCGGTAAAGCTGTGCTGGCAGGGAATGAAAATGACTTGAAATGACCCTCCCCAGTGTTGACGATCTTGAAAAATATTTGTGTCGAATGAAAAACAGTCACGTCAGGATTGCGTTTATCGTAATCCTGACCACAAATTCGAATTTGAGTGCCCACACCCAAAATCGAAAGCCTAATCACAATCGGGTTGGAAATTCGACACATGCGCGTGGTTTGGAAGTAACATGCCTTTGTAGCAAATGGAGTCTCAAATTACCAACCCAAAGCCGTGCAGCGAAATTGACACCTTGTGATTGACAAAACTTTGGATGCGACCCGAAATTTCCCACCTTACGTGGTCCTCTAAGTCCACGTCCACGTCCACGTCCACCTCCACGTCCACGTCCACGTCCACGTCCATGTCCACGACCACGTCCACGTCCACGTCCACATCCACGTCCACCACGTGCACGTCCTCCACGTCCACGTCCATGTCCACGTCCACGTCCACGTCCAGGTCCTCCACGTCCACATCCAAGTCCACGTCCACGTCCACGTCCACGTCGTGGACGACCACGTCCACGTCCACGACCACGTCCAGGACCACGTCCACGTCCACGTCCACCTCCACGTCCACGTCTACGTCCACGTCCAAGTCCTCCACGTCCACGTCCAAGTCCACGTCCACGACCACGTCCACGTCCACGACCACGTCCACGTCCTCCACGTCCACGTCCACGTCCACGTCCACGTCCACGTCCAAGTCCACGTCCACGTACTGGTCCACGTCCACGTCCACGTCCACGTCCTCGACGTCCATGCCACGTCCTCCACGTCCACGGCCACGTCTACGTCCACGTCCACGACCACGTCCACGTCCACGTCCTCCACGTCCACGTCTACGTCCACGTCCACGTCCACGTCCTCCACGTCCACGTCCACGTCCACATCCACGACCACGTCCACGTCCACGTCCACGTCCAAGTCCACGTCCACGTCCACGTCCAAGTCCACGTCCACGTCCACGTCCACGTCCACGACCCCCTCCACGTCCACGTCCACGTGCTCCACGTCCACGTCCACGTCCACATCCTCCACGTCCACGTCCACGTCCTCCACGTCCACGTCCACGTCCACGTCCACGTCAAGGTCCTCCACGTCCACGTCCAAGTCCACGTCCACGTCCACGTCCACGACCACGTCCACGTCCACGTCCACGACCACGACCACGTCCACCTCCACGTCCACCTCCATATCCACGTCCATGTCCACGTCCACGTCCTCCACGTCCACGTCCACGTCCTTTACGTCCACGCCCACGTCCACGTCCACGACCACGTCCACGTCCACGTACACGTCCACGTCCACGACCACGTCCACGTCCACGTCCACGACCACGTCCACGTCCACGTCCAGGTCCACGTCCTTGTCCACGTCCACGTCGTGGACGACCACGTCCACGACCACGTCCAGGACCACGTCCAAGTCCACGTCCACGACCACGTCCACGTCCACGTCCACGTCCTAGTCTACGTCCACGTCCAGGTCCACGTCCACGTCCACGTCCTCGTCCACGTCCACGTCCTCCACGTCCACGTCCTCCACGTCCACGTCCACGTCCACGTCCACGTCCAGGACCACGTCCACGTCCACGTCCACGACCACGTCCACGTCCTCCATGTCCACGTCCACGTCCAGGTCCTCCACGTCCACGTCCAAGTCCACGTCCACGTCCACATCCATGTCCATGTCCACGTCCACGTCCACGACCACGTCCACGTCCACGTCCACGTCCACGTCCACGTCCACATCCTTCACGTCCACGACCACGTCCACGTCCAGGTCCTCCACATCCTCCACGTCCACGTCCACGTCCAGGTCCTCCACGTCCACGTCCAAGTCCACGTCCACGTCCACATCGACGCCCACGTCCACGTCCTCCACGTCCACGTCTACGTCCTCCACGTCCAAGTCCACTTCCACATCCACGTCCACGTCCACGACCAGGTCCACGTCCACATCCACGTCCACGTCCACGTTCACGACCACGTCCACGTCCACGTCCAGGTCCACGTCCACGTCCATGTCCACGTCCACGTCCACGTCGTGGACGACCACGTCCACGTCCACGTCCACGACCACGTCCACGACCACGTCAACGTCCACGTCCAAGTCCTCCACGTCCACGTCCACGTCCACGACCACGTACACCTCCACGTCCACGTCCACGTCCTCCACGTTCACGTCCACGTCCTCCACGTCCACGTCCATGTCCCCGTCCACGTCCACGACCACGTCCACGACCACGTCCACGTCCACGTCCACGTCCACTTCCACGTCCACGTCCTCGTCCACGTCCACGTCCTCCACGTCCACGTCCACGTATTCCACGTCCACGTCCACGTCCACGACCACGTCCACGTCCACGTCCACGACCACGTCCACGTCCACGTCCACGTCCACGTCCACGTCCTCCACGTTCATATCCACGTCCTCCACGTCCACGTTTACGTCCACGTCCACGTCCAGGTCCTCCACGTCCACGTCCAAGTCCACATCCACGTCCACGTCCACGTCCACGTGCACGTCCACGTCCACGTCCTGCACGTCCACATCCATGTCCTCCACGTCCACGTCCACGACCACGTCCACGTCCACGTCCACGACCACGTCCACGTCCACGTTCACGACCACGTCCACGTCCACGTCCAGGTCCACGTCCACGTCCACGTCCATGTCGTGGACGACAACGTCCACGTCCACGTCCACGACCACGTCAAGGACCACGTCCACGTCCAAGTCCACGTCCACGTCCAAGTCCACGTCCTTATCCACGACCACGTACATGTCCACGTCCACGTCCACGACCACGTCCACGTCCACGTCCACGTCCACGACCACGTCCACGTCCACGTCCACGTCCACGTCCTCCACGTCCACGTCCACGTCCTCTACGTCCACGTCCACGTTCACGTCCACGTCCTCGTCCACGTCCACGTCCACGTCCACGTCCAGGTCCTCCACGTCCACGTCCAAGTCCACGTCCACGTCCACATCCACGTCCACGTCCACGTCCTCTACGTCCACGTCCACGTCCTCCACGTCCAAGTCCACTTCCACGTCCACGTCCACGACCATGTCCACGTCCACATCCACGTCCACGTCCACGTTCACGACCACGTCCACGTCCACGTCCACGTCCACGTCCACGTCTATGTCCACGTCCACGTCCATGTCGTGGACGACCACATCCACGTCCTCGTCCATGTCCATGTCGTGGACGACCACATCCACGTCCACGTCCACGTCCATGTCGTGGACGACAACGTCCACGTCCACGTCCACGACCACGTCAAGGACCACGTCCACGTCCAAGTCCACGTCCACGTCCAAGTCCACGTCCTTATCCACGACCACGTACATGTCCACGTCCACGTCCACGACCACGTCCACGTCCACGTCCACGACCACGTCCACGTCCACGTCCTCGTCCTCCACGTCCACGTCCACGTCCTCTACGTCCACGTCCACGTTCACGTCCACGTCCTCGTCCACGTCCACGTCCACGTCCACGTCTAGGTCCTCCACGTCCACGTCCAAGTCCACGTCCACGTCCACATCCACGTCCACGTCCACGTCCTCTACGTCCACGTCCACGTCCTCCACGTCCAAGTCCACTTCCACGTCCACGTCCACGACCATGTCCACGTCCACATCCACGTCCACGTCCACGTTCATGACCACGTCCACGTCCACGTCCACGTCCACGTCCACGTCTATGTCCACGTCCACGTCCATGTCGTGGACGACCACATCCACGTCCTCGTCCACGACCACGTCCAGGACCACGTCCACGTCCTTGTCCAAGTCCTCCACGTCCACGTCCACGTCCACGTCCACGACCACGTACACGTCCACGTCCACGTCCTCCACGTCCACGTCCACGTCCACGACCACGTACACGTCCACGTCCACGTCCTCCACGTCCACGTCCACATCCTCCACGTCCACGTCCACGTCCCCGTCCACGTCCACGACCACGTCCACGACCACAACCACGTCCACGTCCACGTCCTCGTCCACGTCCACGTCCATGTCCACGTCCTCGTCCAAGTCCACGTCCTCCACGTCCACGTCCATGTCCACGTCCTCCACGTCCACGTCCACGTCCACGTCCACGTCAACGACTACGTCCACGTCCACGTCCACGTCCACATCCTCCACGTCCACGACCACGTCCACGTCCAGGTCCTCCACATCCTCCACGTCCACGTCCACGTCCAGGTCCTCCACGTCCACGTCCAAGTCCACGTCCACGTCCACATCGACGCCCACGTCCACGTCCTCCACGTCCACGTCTACGTCCTCCACGTCCAAGTCCACTTCCACATCCACGTCCACGTCCACGACCAGGTCCACGTCCACATCCACGTCCACGTCCACGTTCACGACCACGTCCACGTCCACGTCCAGGTCCACGTCCACGTCCATGTCCACGTCCACGTCCACGTCGTGGACGACCACGTCCACGTCCACGTCCACGACCACGTCCACGACCACGTCAACGTCCACGTCCAAGTCCTCCACGTCCACGTCCAAGTCCTCCACGTCCACGTCCACGTCCACGACCACGTACACCTCCACGTCCACGTCCACGTCCTCCACGTTCACGTCCACGTCCTCCACGTCCATGTCCATGTCCCCGTCCACGTCCACGACCACGTCCACGACCACGTCCACGTCCACGTCCACGTCCACTTCCACGTCCACGTCCTCGTCCACGTCCACGTCCTCCACGTCCACGTCCACGTATTCCACGTCCACGTCCACGTCCACGACCACGTCCACGTCCACGTCCACGACCACGTCCACGTCCACGTCCACGTCCTCCACGTTCATATCCACGTCCTCCACGTCCACGTTTACGTCCACGTCCACGTCCAGGTCCTCCACGTCCACGTCCAAGTCCACATCCACGTCCACGTCCACGTCCACGTGCACGTCCACGTCCACGTCCTGCACGTCCACATCCATGTCCTCCACGTCCACGTCCACGACCACGTCCACGTCCACGTCCACGACCACGTCCACGTCCACGTTCACGACCACGTCCACGTCCACGTCCAGGTCCACGTCCACGTCCACGTCCACGTCCACGACCACGTCCACGTCCACGTCCACGTCCACTTCCACGTCCACGTCCTCGTCCACGTCCACGTCCTCCACGTCCACGTCCACGTATTCCACGTCCACGTCCACGTCCACGACCACGTCCACGTCCACGTCCACGACCACGTCCACGTCCACGTCCACGTCCACGTCCTCCACGTTCATATCCACGTCCTCCACGTCCACGTTTACGTCGACGTCCACGTCCAGGTCCTCCACGTCCACGTCCAAGTCCACATCCACGTCCACGTCCACGTGCACGTCCACGTCCACGTCCTGCACGTCCACATCCATGTCCTCCACGTCCACGTCCACGACCACGTCCACGTCCACGTCCACGACCACGTCCACGTCCACGTTCACGACCACGTCCACGTCCACGTCCAGGTCCACGTCCACGTCCACGTCCATGTCGTGGACGACAACGTCCACGTCCACGTCCACGACCACGTCAAGGACCACGTCCACGTCCAAGTCCACGTCCACGTCCAAGTCCACGTCCTTATCCACGACCACGTACATGTCCACGTCCACGTCCACGACCACGTCCACGTCCACGTCCACGACCACGTCCACGTCCACGTCCTCGTCCTCCACGTCCACGTCCACGTCCTCTACGTCCACGTCCACGTTCACGTCCACGTCCTCGTCCACGTCCACGTCCACGTCCACGTCCAGGTCCTCCACGTCCACGTCCAAGTCCACGTCCACGTCCACATCCACGTCCACGTCCACGTCCTCTACGTCCACGTCCACGTCCTCCACGTCCAAGTCCACTTCCACGTCCACGTCCACGACCATGTCCACGTCCACATCCACGTCCACGTCCACGTTCACGACCACGTCCACGTCCACGTCCACGTCCACGTCCACGTCTATGTCCACGTCCACGTCCATGTCGTGGACGACCACATCCACGTCCTCGTCCACGACCACGTCCAGGACCACGTCCACGTCCTTGTCCAAGTCCTCCACGTCCACGTCCACGTCCACGACCACGTACACGTCCACGTCCACGTCCTCCACGTCCACGTCCACATCCTCCACGTCCACGTCCACGTCCCCGTCCACGTCCACGACCACGTCCACGACCACAACCACGTCCACGTCCACGTCCTCGTCCACGTCCACGTCCACGTCCACGTCCTCGTCCAAGTCCACGTCCTCCACGTCCACGTCCATGTCCACGTCCTCCACGTCCACGTCCACGTCCACGTCCACGTCAACGACTACGTCCACGTCCACGTCCACGTCCA